TATTGACAGCACTGAGTAGCATCAGTTACAGAAAAAAAACAATGGAATATCACCATTCAATCAGCATAAGAATATCTTCAGCTGTAGCAGCCAACACTCTGAGATCCATACAAACATTCTTGTGCTCACAGAACTCTCAGTGTCAGCCACACAAGCACTGCAAGAACATCTGCAGCACGGATCAGGAACAAAGAAATCAAACAGCTTCTTCGGATGTTCCTGAAAGGCTGTGGGTGGAGAACACAGAGCTCACCAGTGGGCAGAGCATGGCACTGCCCTCTCTCCTGCTGACCAGCACACAGATCTTATGTGGAAAGCACAGGATGAAAAGACTTAAGCCAGAGAGACAAAACCTTCCTTGTCTGAGCAGGGCAAAGGACACTCTCATATTTCACAGCAAAGCACATGCACACAAAGTAGCTCAGGTCCAAGAAGAATACACCACATCTACACGCTGCTGAGCTTCCACCATCGGTGCTCAGCTCTTCCTGCTGTCTCCAGTTCTTGGATTAGCAAAACATGAAGTCAGCATGGGTACAAGTGTCCACACCTGAAATCAGTGCTCCGCGCTCAGGCTGTGTTCTCTGTGCTGAGGCAAAGAAGCACTGCAGCCTTCCTACTGCTCTCCCCTCAATCAGATGAATTCTTGTTTCTCCTCCTTCCCACCTGGGCATGGCACCATTCTTAATTTGGGGCTGAGCACTGACCAGGATGAGCCCCTGGCACAGCCACACAGCCACCCTAGAAAGCCTCGGTTCCCATTTCCAAGGAGATGTAAACACTGAAGCTGCTCCATCACTGCCCTGATTCTCAGGGCAAACAAATATTAACAAGATAAACAAAAGAATGAAAAATCCCACACACCAAGACTGCAGCTGAAACGCTGCCCTGGGGATGGGCAAGCTGCAGGGAACACTGGGCTGGAGATGCACAGCCTCCAAAGAGAAGGAAGAGGGAGAAACCTATTCACCAGAGGTGAGAGGAAACATTGGATTAAGCCTTGCAAGGTCCATTCCAACGAAGCAGCCACGCTGTGATTCTATGAAAGGGGTTGAGGGATGAACGCACAGCCCTGCAATGCCTTTCTTTGGCACACAGCTGCTGAGCACAGCCAGCATTCATCTCTTACTGGTTTTCACTAATGGCTCCAATATTTACAGGCTTATATGGAGCAGCTGACGTTCCTCCTGCCCTTCCGTCCTGCCTGTCCCTGCAGACCAACTGATTGCTTTCTCCCGGACACCGATTAGCAGGGATCCCAAAACATTTCCAATGCTGCCTGGAGCTCCGCAGCATCTTGGACACAATGCTGCAGCTGAACTGCTCCAACCCTTCCCTGGCTTCCTTTGGATCTCTGGAAAGGAGGAAAGACCCAAACAGCTCTACCCTGATGGGGCAGCCCCGGTGTCACCAGGAGAGGCTTCTGCCCTCCATTCCATGCAGTGCTTCAGCACAATGGGGCAGGACCTTACCCAAATCCCAATGGACCTCTTCCAGCTGCAGAACCTTCCCTTCCCAATGTCACTTCTTCCCAGAGGAGCTAGCTGAAATCATCCTCATCTCCCACATTCCTGTGCATCTGACCTCACCGGGTCTTCCCAAGCCGTTCTTCCTTCTCCCTCCTCGTACCCTCTGTGCTTTATCTTCAACTTTCATTAATGCACCATCTGCCTCCTCTCACAGAGCCTTAAAGACACAGAGGAGGATGAAAAGGCACAAGGCAGAACGTTGCACCAGACCCCTCTTCCCAATTCAAGACACTGCTATTTATTACTAAAATTTGTTTATAGTTGTGCAGACGCTCTCCCACCCACATGGCAGTATTTCATTCAAGACAAGTTTGAATTCACTTCAAGAACATTTCAAAGGATCCCAAAGCATTTGTTTACAAACAGCGTGCGCTGAGAATGGAGAATTCACTTCTCCCACCACTGAGACACAGTCCCCTCAGAGCCGAGGAGAGGCAGCTGTTCTGTAGCACCCAACAGCTGAGGGACAGGAAACCATCGGCCAACAACTGATAGCACAGGGGAGATTTATGGAAAATGAGGGCTGAGGACTTCTATTTGGCTGGAGGGAAGGGGGAAGCTGTTGAGGGCTGCAGCTCTCTGCTGGGCCTGGAAGAATGCAGGGAGGTGAAGCGTCCCAGACTGCGGTCATAGGAGTGACTCCAACTTCCAAGCCTCATCTGAAAGCTGGCACCTCCCGAGCTAGCGGGAACCTGGGCACCGGGATGGCTTGGCTGCAGAGAGGAGAGCACCCCCTGCTGAGGCAGCCACATGGCTTTCCATCCAAGCCCCAAACAGGCCCAGCCCTGTGTAACTTACGGCAGGAGCCAAAATCGCAGCCCAGGGAGGCATTTTGGCACGGCACGAAGACACTGGGAAGGCTATAAAACTGAAAGCTCTCTGCAGTCCTAGCCTCCATCCGCAAGACCTACTGTAAACACTCAGTCTTCAGAGGAGGAAAAAATGCAAAGGGAAGGAGATCACGCAACTCTTTCAAACAGCAAAGCGCTAGGGATGGTGACGGGTCACGTGCTGTGGAGGCCAAGAGAAGCTGTGAAGGGAAGGGAGCTCCACAACAAAGCCAGAGGAGAGCCAGAGGTGGGAAGAACCCAAGCAAAACAAAGGGTGTCACCAAGAATTGAGGACCAAACAAAGGGTCTCACTGAAATCTGACCTCATGGGGCTCCCCAGGACAGTCAGTGACCTCAGGGAGATACGAGGCAGCAGCTCCAGAGCAGATCAGTCAACACAACTGTCCACGGTAGGAGCAGGACTGACTGCCTCGCACCCAAACAACCACACGTGATGGAAAAAGCAAAGAAGAAACCACAAAAACACAGGTGCTGGAGGAGAGCTGGCCCAACAGGGGACGCAACACAAGGCAGGGCTGCTCCCTGCTTTCCACACAGACCCTGGACTCTGCGTGTCCACTGGAGTCACCACAGAGTGGGGATGGAGCAGGGGGCATCTCGACTGCTTTGCCCAGAGCTGGGCAGCACACGGAGAGCTCTCAATCCCCCTGCGAGAAAGCAGGAGACGGCTGGTCCCCTTCCCCATCCCAGAGCCGGGGAGGGGAGAAGGGACTGCCAAAATGGACGGTGCTCCCCAAAATGGATGGGAGGAGAGCCACGCCGTCCCGGGCAGGGGCCGCGCAGAGAGCAGTGCCCTCGCACCCTCCCCGGGTGCACACAAAGGAAGGCGCCCGGCCTTCGGGGAAAGGAACGGCGACGTTCGGGGGCCACCACCACCGCTGTCGGCGCCCCGCGCGGGGCCGTGGCGGCCAGCCGGGAACCGCCGAGGCCGGGGGGCTGCGGGGTACCGCCGCCACGCGCCGCGAGCGGGGACGCGCACGGCGGGGACCCCGGCGCCCCGTCCCGCCGCCCCCCCCGTCCCGCCCCAACGCTGCGGGGCGCGGCGGAGCCCGCCGAGCCCCGGCCCCGCGGAGGGCCCGGCCCGGGGCCGCGCTCACCCGAAGTCGTCGTCCATGGACTTGAAGTAGAACTTGTAGTTGGGGCGGTTGAGGAGGCCCTTGAAGTCGCCGAGGGTGACGCGCTCGGCCGGGATCGGCAGCTTCACCAGGTACGGCGTCTCCTGCTCGTCCAGGTGGTAGATGATCTTCGTCTCGGCCGCCGCCATGGCGCCCCTGCCCGGCCGCCGGGCCCGCCGCTCCTCCGCCCCCGGCCCGGCCCGAGACCCCCGGCCGCCTCCCGGCCGCCTCCCGCCGCGGTCTCGCTCGGCCCGGCCCCCTCCCGCTTCGGCCCGGCCCGCCCGCGGCCTGCCCGCACCGCTCCCCCCTCGCCCCTTGTTCTGCGGGTCCCAGCGCCGCCCGGACGCACCGCGCACGCTCCGATCCCGCGGCCCCGCCCCCCGCCCGCCGCCCCGGCCCCACCGGAACCGGAACCGGCGCCCCACGGGGCCGCGCTGCGGGCCGGGACCCCGCGAAGCCCCGGCTGCCTCCCGGCGCGGCCCCGTCCCGCGGCGCCCGGCGGAGGATCGGCGCTCCGCGCGCACCCCAGGCGCGGCCTCCCACCACCCCCCTTCGGCTTTGTTCCCCCTTGCCCGCACGGCGGTGTTTCGCGCACCCCTGCCTGCACCTTGCAGGACCGATTCTGCTCTTCGTGATGCTGCAGCTCCAGGCCTTTTGGAACTGCACGTTCCCCGTATCTCTGCTGTCCCCACAGCGTACGGCAGCTGTGCTGATCCCCTCTGCGCCTCACAGCCTCCCTGACGGCCATGCACAGGTCACGGCATCAGCCCTATTCTCCACTGTGCCTCTAAGCAGCATTTTCTCGTTCTAAGATGTGTGCTATGGTTAGCTGAAACACCAGGAGAAACACGTATCCATCAGACAAGATAGTGCTCTGGCCCTAATGCTTACGCAGCTCAAAGAAACACAGCAACTCTGCAGTCAAGGCTGGTCTCAAAGGCAGTTCCAGCCTTCCAACCAAACACAAAAGCTTTGACAGAAAGCAATAGAAACCATCAAGCTGCCCCCTTGATTAAGCAAAGCAATTAATGCTTCTGTAAAAAAGTATGCACTCACCTGCCCATAGGGATGCTGAATTATGCCAGAACTCCACGCTGGAGAACCTCGAGTCCTTTTTGTTGTTCTATTCTTGGCACCTCCAATGCAACCCACTACACTCCACTATCAGGAGGGCACGGCACAGTACATAACCAATATTCACACTAGTTCTCATCATAGCAAAGAAAAAGCAGATTTCAGAGGATTTCCGTAAGCCCGCACAAAATTAAACCTCATTCATGAATGAACCTAAGTTCATCAGTTGTGACAAACTGTTCTCTACTTTCAAATAACGAGGTCACGAGCAATCATTGAGCATTTATACCAATTCAGAATGCTGACATCTCACCTGCTTAACATGTGCTTGAAATCTGTTGAGCAAAAAGTAGCTGTGTGTTACCTAGCTTACCTGTAAGCCCTGCTTAACTATACAACAAAGACACACATAAACAAACCAAGCAGGCCAGTATCACCAGGATAGTTTTTATTTGCTCCCTGAATTAAATAATGGCAGATACAGAAAACTCAGATACCATTTCCCCAACATTTACAAGGCTGAGTTTGCACTGTAGAAAACAAGCAGTTATGCACAATCCTGGCAACTGGTAGTGTGAGTGCACAAGATGGCCCTGCAGCATCAGTTTGGAAGAGGCAGAACCCCCAGCCTCCAGCATCCACTGCTGTCCCCTCACTGACATTTGTGGCACCATGGAACGGCCAAGTAAAGATCCTGAGTGGGCAGCTCCAGTGCTTATTTCCCCTCCCTCTCATGGGGTTTATTCCACACTCCTCCTGAAGGGGCAGAGGCAAGGTCAGAATACCCAACTTATAATCCACCTATGAACAGAAGCTGCTCCTGAAAGCAGCTGGTTCAGTCAGTGCCCACAGAGCAAAACACAGGCGTAGCTGTGCAGCAGGAGGAGCTAGACATCTCTCTCCTGTTTTATTAAAAAATTAACCAACAAACAAAGAAACAGACACTTCTAAAACAATGTGTCTGCTAAGCCGGGGATGCACAGAAGGCAGATCGCACCTAAGATGTAGTAAACTGTACAGCATTTCACCGAGCAGTGTGCATCTGCTATTAGCCAACTCCTGTTAGGGGAGCTGAGTTTACACCATCCCCTATTCTAAAGAAAGAGGAAACACATGTTATAACCAACCCTGCTGTGCAACCTTTCTTCAGATCCTAGCACAGCAGATGGCAAGAGGTTCTCCCTTTTGTAAAGATCACAAACACCTTCTGGACTGCAAAGTGCCTTGGGCATCCTGAAACAACTAACTGTATCTTCTCAAGGCACAGGAACTCTGGAGTCCTGCACTCCAGATCCTAATTCACATGCTTCTACTTACCAACCTTGCCAGTGTCTCTTCAGCAGGAGTTCTCTTAGCTCCAGAAGCAATGACTCCCAATAACTTAGCTGTACGACCACTCTTCCACGACCCGAATGGTTTGATTTACAAGGATGGTATATGCATTTGCATTTATTTGCTCCTTTTGTATTAGTAACAAGGAGTTCCCAAAAGATAGCTTACAGTATACCGTATCCAGGCTCCACAGGGATTCTAGATGCCATTGCCTCCTGCTTTTCCCATATTGTTTTTACACTGTGCTGCAACCATCCAACATAATGTGCCACTAGGCAAGCAAGGGAGGCAGGGGGGAGGGAAGTGGCAAAGTTGGGAATGCACAACACAATTAGTGATGGGATTGTCAGTCACTTTGATGTCAGGCCCCACAACTACACACCATGCACTGGCACTGATCTTGCCCTGCCCACTCAGCCCAGAAAGGCAGTGAGTGTGCCTCTTCTCACGCCAAGTCACCACATCAGTCTTGGTCGCCATCAGACGACTCTTCTTCTGCCTCCTCCAGCCACTGGATGAACTTCTGAAGCTGCAGACAGAATGAAATGTAACTGGGTCACAAGTGACAAACAGGTGCTGGAAACACTCAAAAACTATACTGTGCTGTTGTAAGTACTACTACTGCATGTAAGAACAGATTCACTGGATTCCTCCAATCAGTTCCCACAACATTCTGTCAGATGACAAAAGTGTGAGAGTTTTCCAGAGCTCAAGGGAGGAGAGATGACAGCAATCCCTTAGCTAAGACATTGGAAGCTCTGCCAGAAGAAACCTACTCCCTCATATATTGCTAAAAAAAGGCAGCCTGTTTTTACCTTGAATAAGCAGCTGAAAGCATTGCTGACCTATGCTACAAGTTAACTTTGCAAAGACTTTAAACAAAGCTGCAGTTTCTCAGAGATATCTTTCTTCCCTTCCTCCTCTTACCATCCATGGAGGAGGACTGGAACAAGGCTCAGCCAAACTGCAGCATAAAATTCTGTCTGATGGAGGGGGGAAGTTATATACTCCTTTGCAACGTAAGCCAAATGAAACCACTCACTACTGTAAATGCTTAGAAATATATGCAAAGGGGCTGGTGAGCCAGGAATGAAAGCTTCAAAGGAATTGCATGGGGCCAGCAAACAGGGCATTGGCCTAAGGCCCATTTCAAATGGGTGTTGACTTAGAGAAACTGTGCTGCTAGTCCAGAAAGCACAGGCTTCATACTACAGAACCCACTAAAAACAATGCTTCTCTCCTCCTACCTCCATTCTTCATCAAAACAGGATGATTACAGCAGAATGCACAGAAATACCCTTTTTGGACAGCAAAGCTGCACTGTTCAGCATTTAATACACTGGTGAATTACTGGCCTACCATGCAACGGCAGCTGCTCCACAGAAGGTGACAGTGGCACTGAACTCAATTCAGCAGTTCCTTCTAGAAGCTGTTACAACACACACACACACAGTAAACTCCACACTTCTGGGACTTACCCTCTGGTTTTTACGAAGCTGCTTTCCCTTGTCAGATGTGTCCCGCAGAGAGAACCAGTTGAGAATTACATCTTCTTCCAGAATTTCCAGCTGGTAAAATGTCATCAACACCTGCATTGATTAGAAAAGAACAAGGCTCTTTATAAACTCTTTTGGGATGAGCTCACATCCAAGCTCCAAGTCTACATATAATTTATGGCTCCTAGCTCCATCTTTAACAGAAAACAATCCCTTTGTTTCATTTTGATTTTGATGTTAAAAATAACTGTTTTTCCCTATTAAGCTTTATGCTCCTGATAGCTGGATGCTATGACACGTGATGAGTCAAAGCTCAAACCCCATCAGCTTCAGTTCTGTGGTTGCCCACAGCTCTCAAGCATACCCTGCAACAAGAGGCCACAGAGGGTGTCATCAGTTCAAGATGTTGCTTTGGTTCTCTTTTTAAAGCACCGAAAAACCCATCCAATGAAGTAGATCAGACCTGCCCCAGGCTCCCTCTTTCTGACAGTTCTCTCTTAAAAGTGCCTTATGGCAGGTGTCAAAGCAATTGGTCGTTTGACAGCTCAAACTCCTGCCCAGTGCAGTGAGGGTAAGATGCAATCATTCTTTCTCAGGGTGCCTTTGTGCTGTGGCAAAGCAGGCACTTTGCAGTTGATCTCCTTGTGGCAGAGCACTGACAAAGCTGGCTGCCAGCTCCAAACATAAAGTGTCACTTCAATTCTCAGCCTCCAGGGAAACCCAGGCTCCTACAACAATGGACACATGCCAAATAATTGCTATAATTCAATGACATTTTGCCTCACCAAACCTCAGGGTTTTGGCTCTGATCCATGCTAAGTGCTTTGCCGTTTGCCAGAAACTCTGGTAGTTGAAGTTAGGATTACTTTTTTTTTTGGGAAACCAGGAGTTAAGCAAACCTTATGAGAGCTCCTCTGGAATAGGCAGGGGCTACCCTGAGACACTGGTATGGGAAAAAACTTTCAATCTAAATCAAATACTCTCAGTTTGAAAGGGCAGAAAGAATGTGTGGACAAAATATTTGTAGGTAGGGATATACTGAACATTCTAAGAAGCAGGAAGATAGGTAATAAGCCACATGTCAGCTTTTCTTTATTTCCAGTTTCACAACTAGGTTGGTCACAATAAATTATTTTCTTATTCCCAGCATTGCTTATTTTGTACTCTAAAGTAGCATAAATCATCTGCAGTTAGATCTCAGGCATCACAAATAGACAGAGGTGTATGGCCTCAACTCTCCACACAACACCACACAAGGGCACGTAGGTTAGAAGCTGCAAAGTAACAGCTCACTTCAGGCTTCATGCCAGTATTTAATAATTACCCTCAGCTGTGCTCAGTCATATGCAGACAAAAAAAAAAAACAATTGTTACAGCTAGATTTTCTATACACACTCTCCAGTTGAGACCCCAGTTCCCTCCCCTCTGAAGCAGACAAGCTGATGATGTGAACAAGATGCATTTCATCACAACTGCAGCAAAAACAAGTCCTCAGAGCTGGGAGCAGATACTCACTTTAGCTATTGATGTGCAAAGACTGTCGTGTTCCAGGAAGAATTCCTCAATGGCAAATAAGGCATTCAAGTGATCTGATGAACGTTTTATGTAGTTCTTAAACAATGGGGTCCAGTTCTTCAACAGCTGCAGGGAGAAGATACAGAAGTGTTCAAGGGTTCCTGAGCTGTGAGATAGGTGTGTGTGCTCAGCCCAGCTTCTCAGCTGTGTTGCACTGAGAAACTGACCCAGAACAGCATTTTACAAAACTCTTCAGCTGACCAGTTAATGTACTTGCCCTCCTCTGTCCATTAAACAGATGTCTGCACACATGAAATATAATAACAAGACCTAGTTTTACCAAATAACCTTGAGAACATGTTAGCGTTCTTGGTTTTGATTCCCTGACTGGAATACTGGATTATCACAATAAACATGTTTAACAGAGCCTTCAAATCACTTCAAGGCAGACTGATGCACAGGGGTATGTACATGCTCTCAAACTTTCCACCCAAAAACAGCTAACATTTTAGTGGAACTTCCTTTTGAAGCAGAAGAGCAAATAACAACAAAGATTAAAAAAAAAGAGTGCCAAGAAAATTACCAGTTTCCACGTAAGCAAAGATCCCTTTGTTCCCTGAATGCACAATCCCACATTGTATACTCTTGCGTGATATTACAGAGAGGAAGGATCCCTACCAGAAACCTGAAGAGATGCACCATAGATGCTAGCTTCTGGGCAGTAGTGCAAACACTCAGCAATTACTAATACTTCGATTTGAGAAGCCCACGCACTAGCTTGATGAACTGCTAAAACTGCCTCCCTGAGATCTTTTTAGACACCCTCACCTACATAACTTTGTTTGATACTGCACCAGTAACAATAGCAACACAGCAACTGCAGCCACATTCACCCAAGGTGTGCCTACAGTCTGGGAAGGGTCATATTTTCTGTACCATCTCTGCTTTACAACTTGTACAAGAGCCAAACAAGACAACTGGTACACTTCAAACTGGATAACTATTTCTCAGACCTCTACATCTCATCTGAAAAATACCCACAGGCATATCCCTTTACAGATGGTCATTTCTTAAATTGTTGCAACACTTAGGAGCTTCATATTCAGGAGCCAGCACTTCAGAGCACATACTGTGGTTTCAAGTCAAATCATACATCATAACTATGGCATTTCCACAATTTCCCCATCTGAGCTGTCTGAGACTGCTCCACCATTGCTCTTGCACAAACAATCCACCTTCCTTCAGCATCTCCTCACCAGAACTGAGCTACAAGGAGATTAAGAAATGTGATACAGATCTCCAAAGTCTAGTAGGCTTCCAATATTCAAGACTCTCACAAGTCAAGTATTCCCATCTCATACAAAATAACTTTGCTGTATGTAAGCTGTTATAAGCAGATCTCAGCCTGATACAACTTTGACTGAAGCCATTATAGCTGCATAGCTACAAACTTCAGCTACATTTTCATTATGCACAAACCTATACCAAGCAGTGCTTGGAATTCTTAGGATGTAAATATTAGTAACTTAAAGGACTGCAATTTTCTGACTAGGCAACTACAAGTTGTTCACTACTCTAAGAAACTTGGTGGCTATTTTTTAAACAGAAGCATTTGGAGACCGAGCCTCATGTCTACGCCTAGGAAGATTATGCAGCAGATCCTCGAGGAAGAGATTAAGGAGCATGTGAGATGTGGAGGTGATCAGAGACACCCGGCACAGCTTCACCAAGGACTGATCATGTCTGACCAGTCTGGTGGCCTCTCATGATGGAGTGATGGCATCAATGGACAAAGGAAGGGCAACTGATGTCATATATTTGGATTTATGCAAGGCCTTTCACATGGTTCCACACTACTTCCTTATTTCTAATTTTTCCGACGCCTTGGAAAAGATCCCACTGGGAGAGGAGAGCTCCCTGCTGCCCCAAGGATAGGACTTATGATAGACTGGAATCAGGTTCCTGGAATGCGGGCCCATAAAGACAACTCTATTAGTCCCTCTCTGATCTCTTCTACAAGTTATACATTCAACTACCACATAGAAAACAGGCAATAATCAGAGGTACTGAAGTAGAGCTCCCCACATTTGCAGTCCAAGTAGAGTTCCATCAAGCAGGTACAAAAATTTCAGCTCATTTTTACTTCTTTAGAAGACAAAAAGGCTCACAAACTTGAGGAGTTCAAGTGGCTTCAGGCTTAAGAAAAAAGACTTAGCAACCAGGAAGTACCTCAGGCAGACTCCTACACACCAGAAGACAAGCCCCAAGTAGAGTCAAATGGAGCAGCACTCACAGGAAGTAATGCTGAGAAATAGTTCTGGGAGTCCAGGTTTGCATCCAGCTGCTGTAATGGGAACTCCAGAATCACTTTACTGAGCACCTGCATCATCTCACTCAGACTGATGTTATATGCATACCTGCAAGGAAAAAGGCACAAAAAATTAAACAAACGTTTCACAGAATCTCATCTTTGCAGATGGTGGTTCCTCACAGAGATACAGTGGAAAACGTAAGTCAAATCTTCTGCTCTTTTTTTTTCTTTTCCCCCAGGTTGTTACTCTCCCTCCTGCATCCCCTCTCCCCCAAAAACAAAAAACCTACACCTTGCATTAACCTGGTGTAAGACCAAAAGTCCTGAAAATCTGCTATCACAGAGAAACAAGCTGTTGCAGGGACAGCACCCTCATGTTTACTAGAGTGCTGCATGAATACTGTTGCGCAAAAGAAGGAAAACAGGTTTGTATTTAAGAAACATTAGGTAAAAGGCACTCTGATTACATGTTCCAGACTTGCTGCTGTATAAAGACAGTAGACAAGCACACCGCAGCACGGTTTCAGCTGCAGGCAGCTGGTTGAGCTCTCCAGTGCAAAGAGCTGCAGTTCCTGCATGAACTTACATGAAATTGGTGCTAAGAATTGGCTTACTCTCTTTTGGTCTATAGTTACTTAATAATTCCACCTCCTGTTACAGAATTAGGGCTAGTAAAGCTCAATGATTGAGGAAGCTATAGATGCATTACCACCTATCAACATTCAGTCATAATCTCTGATCTACATTTCTCCTTCTGCAACACCGGCAATATTAATATGTAACAATCAAATACAGGTATCTGTGCGACTTCTCAATCTGCTGCAAAACACAACTGCTCAGGATAACATACAGTATCTTCACAAGGGGACACTCACTTGAGAGAGTTGATTTCCAGGACCAGGTTGTCGCAGGAAATGTTTTCTTCTTCACCCCTCTGTAATGTACCCAGAACCTCATTCTGGAAAACTAATAAAAGAAAGGACAGGTAGTTCAACAGGTCAAGGAAGAAGGAAAAAGGTGAGTTCCCCATTTTGTCTGAATCCATTTCAAACCCACATTAACTTCACAAAACAAAAAAAATAAAGCATCTCTGCCAAAAGAGGCAGCTACTACAAGAAAGTTATTGAGTGCAGTAAGCTTGTTCTCAACAGCCCCATCTCTCACCTTTGATGTCGTCTAGCTGAGGGGATGCTGCCCGACTGTCTGGCTCCTCAGAGCCCATGCTGAGGTCGCTGTCTGACTCACTCTCTTCTTCCGAAAGCATAGCTGGGCCTGATGAAGAAGAGAAGACGGTATTCAGTGCTCAAAAGCTGTAGTTGTCACACGTGTAAAAAAACAGGTGTTGCAGAGAATTCATAATTGAGTCAGCAACTATCTGTCCTTGCATGGAATATTTTACTTACAGGTCCAGATGGCTAGAATTGCTGCAGAGGAAACACTATAACTGGCACTGGGACAAGGGGACTTTATTTAAGAGTCTGCAGACAGACAGCAAAGGACAGGGACAGAAGCAAATGCATCTCATGCAGACTGCTGACTCATTATAGAGCAGTGTCAGCACTCTGTCACTAGCTGGAAGAAAACCAGAACCCAGGACAGAGAAAGCCCATCCCCTCTACAGGAAGATCTGGTAGCCCATAGTGCGCCCTTCAGAGAACAGACAGCTGTGTGCATTTATGCAGGTGAGCTATCTGTCGCAGAGCACAGGAAGAGAGAACCCAGCTCATCACTTTCTATGTAACCTCTCATATCCACACACAAATCCATTATCTGGAAGCCTGACTGCTTCATGAAGCCCAAGCGTTATTCTGGGAACTATAATCAGTGTTTCACTCAGCAAGTTTGCTTGACACTGAAAGTCTGTCTGTCCATCCCCAGGTTAACCACAATAAACTCCTTCTCACCCCACAGGCTCTGTCTCTGCTCTTCATCATCTTCATTTTTGTCATCTGCTTTCCAGAGATAGCCTCTGCCTTCTGAGCCTACATCCTTTTTGTTGTAGCCTGAAAAAGAAAAAGCAATTAAAAGGTAGTTTTACCCAAAAGCAGGTCCAATACCAGTTAATTCAAAATACACTAGTAAAATTTGCATTCTACTGCTCCTAAACACTCTACGTCAAGAGACTTGATGTAGAGTCAAGTCCTTGCACACAGTCCAGGTACAAGGACATACATCTCACACCTTCCTTGAATGGAACATCTTTTTCAACTTCAGCTTAACTCCAGGAAAAATGGAAAACAGCTGAGTCCACACAGATTTTAGTGCTGGGATACAAGGCAGAACACCCCACAGTCCCCCTTCCACCAAATATCCTTGCTTGACTTACTGAAAGCACATGTTCCAAGTTGAATGCAGTGTTAAGTTCCTGCCTGCAACTGCAGAGTATAGAACAAGGAAAAGACTCCCAGAAGATGAAGGGTAAAGTCCTTTATACGTCCCAAGAGCATGGAGCCAGAAATACTCGTACCTTTCAGCTTCACTTTGCTCTCCTCCTTATTCACACCAGAATCATCACTGAACTGGTCGTCATCCTCCTCCTCCTCATCTGGTGGGTGTAGAGAGATCACCGTGCCCTCTGAAAGAGTGATGTCAGGACCAACAACCACCTGAAAAATACACGCAACCTATCTCAGTGAAGTAATACCCTGACTGCTCCTTTATCCCTCCATCAGAAGGGAGGGTAGCAGCTCCAGAAAGGCTATTCCAATGGAGGGTCAGACAAACAGAAATGAAGACAGCACTGCTAGACCACATATCAAGCTACTCTAGCCAATATGCTTGAAGGAAGAAGTGGGAGCAGCAACATTCCACCACCTCTCAGAAAATGCCTGGAATAGCCCTGTATTCTGGTATGGTCAAGGAAAGTAGAAAGCAAAATAGAAACATAGCTTACCTGTGAGGAGAGGACACAGTGAGGTTTTAGCTTTACTTTCTCCTTCACTTCAACTTCATCACAGATAACAGAATGCTGGATCTGCACATTATCTGCTATGTGTACTCCATCCCAAAGAAAAGCTCCATCCAACATGACTTCATTACCTATTACACAACAAGTACAAATACTTTGAGCAAGGCAGACTGCTACTCTCCTACAGTACTGAGTTCACTAGTAAGCATCTTACTGAATCTAGGACTAAATGCCCTTGATGCATAATGAATGTTAGATGAAAACAAAACAAAAAAAAGCAGCCTTACAGGCCTACATCCACTTCTTACCCAAAGCTAAAAGATCAGTTAGATCTCTGTGGAGAACAAACAAGTTGACAATACCAACTGACATCTTTGTTTCGTACAATCACAGCCAACTCACAAACAGAAAAACAGATCCAGAACATGAAAGCGGACTACCATGTAGCTTACAAAAACAGGGGCAGATATCCTTTATTTGTAGGATTTGGGCAGGTAATAATTCTAGATTATTAAACACTCTCTACTGCATTAAACATTCTCTACTGCTAAAAAGTCTATTCACACGCAGCACCTTTCACTTTTCAGCATCACTACCATACCCTGAAAATTTGTCCTCCATGAGGAAACAAAGCTTTTCTCCTTTCTTCCCACTGGAAGTCCTTGAAGTATCCAGCATCCTTCCCCAGAGCCACATGCACTCGAAAAATAAAATCCCAACAACTTGTGCCCTTATCTGGCATGCCATGCACACTCCCCATTCTCGTACTCACCTATCCTACAGTTCTGTCCAATAACACTGTTCATTATTGAGCAGTTGCTGCCAATGACTGTTCCCTGCCCAATGAGAACGTTCTCTTTCAGCATGCTGCCATGACCAAGGCTAACATCCACTCCCCGGTAAATGTTGTGTTTAGAATGGGTATAACTCTGATTCTTGTCATCAGTGAAGTTCATCTCCGGAGTCAAAGGATAAACCCAGCGCCTGATGATGTCAGAGCACACAGCTTCATACATTAGTAGGTTGCATATGTGAGCACCATACTCTTCTGTCGTTACATGCATATGGATTTGGTTCCCCAGGATCTGGAAACAGGATATGTCAGAGGATTCTCTAGTCCAAGGTAACAGGATCTCCCTTGTAACATTCCTCTCCTTACCTCCTCATTCACTAACAGACCACGCACAAAGTCATCCCGTGTCTGGTAGTCAAAATTGTCTGTGAAAAGCTCAGCCACCTGTCAGGAATAAAATGTAAAGAAGTAATGTAACTACAGAAAAAGTGGCCAGGGAAGTCAGTTAATTGATGGCTACTCAATGGTTCTCAGAGAGATGACCTATGTGTTATAGGATAGTAATGCTCTTGCCCTGAATAAAGCTTTGATTCCTGCTGGTAGGAGTGCTGACCTTCCCATCTCTTCCTCCCTTCTTAGGATATGAGCAAATTCTGGTTTTCAGAATATGCAAAAAATATATTTAGCACCTCCAAGCTGTCCACCTAGCCTTGATTTGTAGTTTTACTTCTAAAGCAAGGCTTGAGACCAGCCTTTTAAGATTTGGAGGAAATACTACCAAGCCTAATCTGGAATAACCCTGACTCTTAGCCTAACATGGTACCAACTTTCACGTATAAACACTTTCACAGCATAGCCATCAACTCTGCTCCATACTTTGACTTCACTCCAAGTGAAATTGCTTACTTTCCAGCATGGTTTCATTTTGTGCAGTTATCCAATCTACTGATGCACGTACTGTTTAGCTCTGCCTGGGCTTGAGCATGGAATGGCACACTGAGCTCTTGCAGTCAGCACAGCAGTTCTACAAGATCCTAGCTCAGCCACTGAGCATGGCTGGGAGTTCTGGTTTCCAAACTCAGTACAACAAAGGCACCCTCTACCTATCAGCAGTGCCAAGGAAGCAACGCCAATTGAATTTAGGATTCTCTGATGGGCAGAACTCACCTGTGGAGAACAGATGCTGATGTGACAATCCAGCAAATCATGGCGCACCTCAACATTTTCAATAGAGTTCTGAAACAGACTCTGCAAGGGGAAAAGATTCAGATGATCTGAGTGTCTCACTCAGTACTGAACCCCAAAAGGCTTTTACAGGCCAGAAGTATCATATTGATTGAATTCGTAAACAAGGTGCTGTTCTGGGGATCAAAGTAGTCTACAATCAACACTGAGACACAAGCTTAGCAGGCACAGCCTGGTGCACACAGCTGTGCATCAGTCAGCAGGGACTGCCCTCATCCTTACACAATGCAGTTCTGCAAAAAACAGCTTGCACATTAAACAACCCCTTTTCTTTCAGGAGGCTCCTTATCTTCAGTTGCTAAAAACTATAAATGTACAAAGAAATAAATCAAAATGCAGTATTCATAGCTTTCATACCTCCTGTGGATTTTCACAGCTTTTTTTCCCCTTTTTGATTTCAGGCAATGATTTGTTCATTTGAAGGTAAAAAAAAGTCTACTGATCACTGACTTGAGGATGGAAGTGCCATATATTCATAGTCTTAATTCTGAGCTGAAAAACATCTATTTATCTCACTGGAGAAAATACCTCCACTGGTATTTTGATGTTAACTGAGATGTTAACTGAGCACTTAGCTACATTATTAGCAGAGCCCATAGCTTTATAAGGAAACAGTACAGATAGAAGAGGTGAGTAGTACTACAACTTGCATCTCCTCTAATTCCACTCTGTGTCAGGCTCAGTGTTGCTTAAAATGGATTGTGTATGGCAGTAGCATAGGAGATCTATATACTACTGTCATAAACAAATCATCTGTCAATGCAGATCGTCCACCTCCCTCGTCTCACAAAGCAGAAAGGATTCTAACTGAATTTTGAGAAATGTCTGCCCCATCTTCAAATGCTAAAATGAGTCCCAGCACTATTTCACCAAGCCTTAAATAAAGTTAAAGGAAAAAAAGCCAGTTTACCAAGAGTTACTTCCTATCATCTGCTCCTCCAAAAGAAGCAGCAAGAACAGTTTCCCAGCCCTCACTCAAGGAGGATTTCCTTGGGGTGGGCTGCTTCACTAATGCAGCCCTTTTCCACCCTTCAGCTTCCAGACGCACCATGGGAAAGCGGAAGCGTTTCAGTCCCTGGGTTCTCTGATAGTGAAGGACACGGTTTGTGGCACTATCCATAGCAATAACAATGTCATCCTCTTTGCACCTGGCATGGTGACCAGGTGAGGACTCCTTGAAAATCATCGTCATCACAGAAACATTCTTTTCCATCTTACGACGCAACCTGGAAAAAAAAAAAAAAAAAGAGGACAATTTTAAAATCACTCTTCAGACAGTTAGAGCCCAGACAAGCATGAGCTGCTTTCAGCACCTACTTGTGCTCTTCCAAGGCTCTGGATACATTGAGGTTGGATACCACATCCCCAGTGACGAGAATGAAGTCAGAACGAACAAGGGACTTGGCATCAACATCTCGCAGCACATCACCGAGGGAGCGGTACAGGTCTGAAGTCACAAAGCGCACTGTGTTGGGAGAGGTGTGGCGGCACCACTTGGATCTTCTAAAGGACAGAAATACATCAAAAAGTCATTAAAAGGTTATTTCCTATAGACAACACAGTAGGACACAGTTCCAGAACATGGCACATCTGTAAGTGAATGCACAGAGAATTCCATTACAGTGAGCCCTCCATCCACACGCTTAGGCACGTCCATTTATGTGCAGCAGATGAACTGAAGAACATTAGACCAAGACTGAAGCTTATGGGAATTTAAGAAACTGGACTTTGCTAAAAGCCAAGTTTGACAATGGAGAAATGAAGAACGTTACACACAGCCCAATGTTTTATCTCTGAAAACAGTACAGGAAAGACCGTATGCTTCCCTTTAGCATGCAAAGCTGCAGAAAGCAGACAAAGGTGCTGTCGGACACACCTGCCTCCATAAACTTCATTACACATCAAGACAGGACGTAATGAAAGGGCTGCTACTGCAATTTACACAGCCAGCCAGGCAACTCCTACATTTAAATGCGGTCCCCAAACACTCAACCTTTTTAAAACACTGAACCACCACACCAAGAATGGTCTTTTTTGAAATGTGTTAGGAGGCACTCCTTGAAAGGCAATCTATAGCACATGGTTTTTAGCAGAAGGATCAGTGTAATATAAAGCCTTTGAGATTTGTTGGAGGATAAGAATATATTCCACAATAAAGCTAAAAAGGAAAAAGAGATTCTTACTGTAAATGCTCTTTTATCTCAGCTGACTTCCAACAGCAGAAAACAAAGGTTTCTTCTACTCCAGTTGCTGTTAAGAACTCCAAGGTATAATCAATCATGGCCACATTTGCCATAGGTAAAAGAGCCTGATAAAAAGAGAGAGACAGAGAACTGAACACTGTACCTCAGCAGAAGAAAGTCCCTCCCAACTTCAGGACATAAGACTACCAGCAGTTTCAAAAAAAAAAAAAAATCCATGAATAACTGCATTACCTCCTTTCAACCAAAATATTCAGAGTGGGCCTAAACAGTGAGAACTGGTTTTTGATGTTCTGTTGGGTCAGATCCTCACTTCACAATGAAAGGCATGAACAAGGTAAAGTTATCACATACAAAGCTCTTTAAGAGGATTTAAATGAGACTAGAAATAGAAAAAATCCCAGCATACCAATTCCCTGACTCAGGCTTCAACTGTTACAAGAAAAACCTGTCAGATGTGAGTGATGAAGCCTCAGGAATATGCGTGTGCAGAATACAAAACAGTAGGAAAAAGAAAAAAGACCCAATGTGATGCAGGGTAAGTATTCCCTTGTCTTGATACTCAGTTCATGCCTTTAAACCAAGTCACTGGTTTACAGCTGAATGCTGTCTTACTACATTTTAACTCTTTTTGTGATGTTTTGTTCAAGGCTTGATGCTATGAGGATAATTATGACAACCACAAACATTTAATTAGCAAATTAAGGGTACTGAGCTAAGGGTACTAGTTCAGACCTGAGCTCCCTGGAAGCACCCTTTCCTTCAACACACGGCTTTCTGATCCAGGTAACTAAAGTGCTTTCCCCATCCATTTTGCCGTCCGTATTATTCCACCCACAACGAAGACTTCACTTATTTCTTTGACAACACTGCGCGACCCGCCTGTCCCTGACATACGGCAAAGCCATCACCACCAGCGCAGCGCAGCCTCCCGAATGTGGCCACTGCCCCTTCAGAAAGAAGAGAACTGCCGGAAGCATCTGGGCCCGACAGCAGCCCGAGCCCCACCGGGTACCGCGCACCCTCCCGGCAGGGCAGCGGGCGGAAAGGAGAGGGTTTCCTCACCCGCGGACGGTCTTTGGAGATGGGGAAGAAACGGCGGTTGAAGCTGTCGGCGACCAGCACGGCCTGGAGCGGCGGCGGCGGCTCCTCCTGCGGCTCGGAGCCGCGGGCCCCACCAGCACCTGCACCACGCTTCGCGGAGCCGCGGGCCGCCATCTCCTCACGCTGCCACAGCTCCGCCTTCCGCTTCCGGCTCTGCGCCGGAAGTAGCGACGGGAGCTCGGCGGGCTCAGAACGCGAGAGGTGCGGGCGGGCGGCGCACGCGCAGTGCTCGCATCTCAGCACGGCAGGAAATGGGGGGCGTGTATTTGCTCCATGCGGTCACTTCGCAGGTGGCCAGCAGGTCGAGGGACGCGACCCTGCCTGTGCTGGTGAGACCTCAACGGCAGTATCACGTCCGGATGTGGAGTCCTCGGTGCAGGAGAGGCATGGAGCACGTGCAGAGGAGGGCCACAAAAATGATCCGAGGGATGGAACACCTCCACGGGGTCAGGCCGAGAGGGCTGGGCTGTTCAGCATGGAGAAGGGAAGGCTCCGGGGAGATCTGAGAGCAGCCTTTCAGTGTCTAATGGAGAGGCTATAGGAAAGTTGGGGGCAGACACTTTAGCAGGGACCGTTGTGGTAGGACAGGGGGAAATGGGCTCAAACTAAAGGAGGAGAGATTTAAACTGGATATAAAAGAACAAAATTAAAATATGCCAGTGCCTCACCACACTTGAGTTGCCCAGAGGGGTGGTGGATTCCCCATCCCTGGGAACACCCAAGGTCAGTCTGCACAGGGCTCTGAGCATCTGATGGAGCTGCAGATGTCCCCGTTCAGTGCAGGGAGTTGGATTAGATGCCTTTAAGGGTCCCTTCCAACTCTAGTGGATCTACAGTTCTATGAAGTCCCTTCTAAAGTGCTTCAGCATCAGCCTCATGCTCAGAAGTGAATTGCTGCATGCAGTACTTAGAGTAGAAGGCACACCCTCAGTTGAATCCGTCCTCTTCCATGTCTGTCTGCTGCCCACTAACAGCACTGCTGTCCCTCTTGCCAGCACTGAATGCTGCAGGACCTTGTGCTTGCTGTCCTGCACCCTACACTTCTGCCTCCCTCACAGGGTGGGCACTCAGCTCCTGCCATGCTTCCTTGCTGGCCTCTCTTGGCTTCTGGTTCTCTCACTTGCTATAACCCACTCTGCCTGCTCTGCTTCTTGCTGCTCTTATCTGCCAGCATCTCTGCACCCACCTACTTACTGACCAGCAGAGACCAATCTGCTCAGGACACTTGCACCCACTCCCTCTGAGATAGGGCTCTTCCCCAGGGTGAAACACAGCACACACTTATCAGCCCACGCACAGTGTGCTCTGCCCATTCTGCTGCTGAGAAAGTAATGGAGTCATAACTCAGAGTGACAGTGCTGTCCCAGTGTTATCATCAGCCTGAGCAACACCTGTGTCTGAGCAGTCTTCATTGAGCTGTGAATGGGAAAAGATAGTAATAAATACAGCATCTCTTTTCACCAGTTGAACTGCATATCATGGACTGATTTAATAGAAAACAACTCTTCTCTATCTCACAAAGGACTCTGTGGTATTGGATATTCCCTGCATTTTCCTTAGCTGTTAAGATATGGTGCCATCTGCCCCCGGATACTTGTGACTGAGCCCATGCTGTGCTTTATGTACCTTGTGACTGAGCTGCTTGACCTTAGACAATGGTTTAAAATAAAGCAGCAAGGATGGACACAGCAATAAAATAAAAATGATCTGTCCTGGAGAAATAAATTGTTCCCATTCTGTTCAAAAATAGGTGTCTGCATCCCCTTGGAAATTCTGTTGCCACAGCAAAGAAGCTAACCCCTAAAAAAAAAAAAAAAACAACTCTAATTGTTACAACTTGAGGTGGTAACCAAGATGTGGATTTGTCATTGCCTGAAGGCAGGACAGCATCTTCCTTCCTGGCTTTGTAGCATTAAAGATATAAACAGCACCAGAAATCAGGTCTGATCCAGCCTGCACAGCCACTGCCGATGTCAAGACTGGACACACAGAACTTGATGGGACACTGAGCAGATTATCTGTATAATTGCATCCTGTTCTCCACAAATGAGGAGAATTTCCAAGACATTGCCCTGGTAAATTGGCAGGAGCAAAGGAAGGCAAATCAGTGTAATTGCTAATGAATTGAACTCAAGAAAATCAGCCTGATAAATATTCCTCAGGCTTTGCAGAAACATTTCACGTTGGTTTCAGTGAGGACCTGCAGGCCAGTAGCACTCACATCAAACACTTTTTGAAAGCAATATAACTGCAGGGGAGCTTTTAAAATTGAAAATAGCTCATGGAATCTGAGATGAGGCTGTACTGGGTTAAACTGAATGTCCACCAAGCCCAATATGCTGCAATAGTTGGGCAGGAGGTAGAAGAAGCCATGAACTGTAGGGCTTTTTCCTACTCCTTCACCCCTTAGAGCATCATGAAAGAACATCCAGCAGCTCTGGGAATGATAAACTGTGGGGATGCTCTGCTTTCCAGAGATCCTCCTTCCAGCCTCTGTCCCTACATGAGTAACTCTTCCCCTCTGCCTCCCTAGTCATCTTCCCCCCCCCGATCACTTGGCATCTCCCTGGCTTCTCTCTCTGCATAGAAGATGCTCTACAATGTATTGCTAAGCCTTGTCAGGCAGCTCCAGATCTGGTCTTATTTTAGACATCTTAGAGCCTCCACAACCACAGCTGTGTCAGGGGTTCCCAAGGATAGTGAGGCTCACAGTGAGGAGGATGACAGGAGGTCTGCATGGAGGAACCATGTACATAGCACAGGATAAATTTCCCCTCGCTAGATGGCATATTCTGCCTGGTGGCCAATGCATGTCAGAGGTGACATGGGGCACCTGGTACAGGTGTCTGACACCAGAGCCAACCTGGGCTTACTCACAATGGCTGATGCCTGCTTGCCAGGTAGAGAGGGGTCCACCTACCTGAGCTGCCCCAGAGCTGCTCCTACCCCTTCAATAATGAGCAGATGATGGGACATGCTCACAGCATCCAGCCCTCCTGCATGCTGGAACAGCTCTGTTCCTGTCTCAGAATTTGCATGAGCACCAAACAGAGTCTTGCAGGTAAAAAGAGACCTGCAGACCACAAGTAGGTCAGCAGAGGTGAAGCCCAGACTGACTCTGCTCTGCGTCCCAATCCTCCCACATCCTGGGCTCCAGCCAGGCTGGCAGCAGTGAGCGTTGACTCACAGGCTGTGCCTTGTTCTTTGCTCTTTTGTCCCCCTCTGTTTCTCAGAAGCAGGTTTCTGCCAGATGAACTGCTGGGCTTCATCCACTCTTAGTATCCTGCTGCTCCTTTGTTGACAGCCTTGAAAAGGGGAGAAAAAGACAACAACCCACCCAGTCAGCACCTCCTGGGGTTATCACATGTCATAGGATGCTGCTTGCAGAACTGCTTGGTAGCTTTTTTCACTAGCAAGGTGCTGGGCATCATTCACCTGTCAATGGGCAAGATGCACTACTGCTGCCACAGCTCCCTGCACCTCAGTTGCCCTCACCTTGACTGGGCTGTAGGGTACACTGCCCAGCAAATCTGCATAGTTTAGCTGAGTTTCCAACCCTTTACAAGCATTGCCCCAAACCTCACAGCATTCTTGCTTTCTCCACATAGCCTCTCAGCTGACAACAAACTCCTAATGTGGCTCTTGAGCAAAGAGCATGTGATGGGATGCCCTGCCCCATCCCATAGGATGTCGCTTCCATCAACCCTCACCAGCTGCTTTCCCAAGAAGCACCAGCTTTGGGTGACAGTGCTCATATCCAGCTGACAGACTCATGCTCTACCTGGTGTTCTTCTGGTACTGCTGCTTGTGCTTTGGCTCCATCCTTTGCTGATTCACCTTGCTGGTCACTCAGAGACCGACAGGACTCCAGGCATAGAAGGCACAGGCTCCTCCTCACTTCTCAGCAAGAACACCCTGTCTGGAGAAAATGAGTCAGCAGCCATCTGGCTTGGCACATGCTCCTGGAAGCAGCCACCCTGTGTGACCCCAGAGGCTACTGAAGGCTGAAGAGTGAGATGGGTTTCCCATCAGAGAACACAGCTGGAACCATCATGGGAACCAGTGCTCCCAGTCACGGGGAAGAGGACTTCCTTTGCACAACACCAGGAGATCACATGGGGAAGTAATCAGACCACATGAGTTGAAGGGTTTCCTCCAAGTTTTATGGGGCACTGAGGCAGAGCTGCCTTCTGTTTTCTCAAATAACCCTTCTCTAGTTCTGAGCTGTGCAGATTTCTAAAGCAGTATAGCCCTTCCCAAGCAACTGTGAAGTCAGCTCAGAGAGGGTCACCCTTTGGAATTAAAGCAATGGCTGGTAGGAAGCAACCTGCAGGCTGAGCCAGGGAGAAAAAAGGCGTTTTCTTTGGTGTTACAGTAGGAAAGATTAATACGGTGGAAGTACAGTACAAGAGTGTAACAACAAAAGAACTGGCACAAATGGAATGGTGTTACAAAGGAAAAGCACTCACCCATCTCCAAAGATCTAGGTTCACAGGAAAGACTCCACAAATGAAAGATCTTCAATCAGAGATCTTTCCCCAGTGGCAGTCAGCCCTTAAATGAGGTCTAAGAGAGGTGCAGCCAGACTCCACCCCTTCAGGTTGCACAGATGAATTGCCTTCACCTGTGCTGACTGGGTCCTTTCCCCAGGTGCTCAATCAGTGGTTCAGGCTGTGACTCAACAGTTACCATGCATTTGGAAAACCAAAGGGCTGAGCAAGACACGGAGCTTGGCAACCATAGTCTTGGGACTGGAGGGATTGAAAGGGAAATGTCAGTGTTATGGGAACAGGGCCTGGTGTCACTTGCATCACGAGAGGGGAATTTTTGGTGCTAAGTCAGAGCTGCAGAGACACGGAGGGAATCCCCTGGATTTAAAGAGCCAAGATGGCTGAGAAGGATAACACAGGACTTCATTTGAAGATCTGCTCGGCTGGCTCCAGCTCTCTCCCACCCTATGCTGTGTGCAGATGTTGCTCTGTTCTTGCTGTTTTGCTCAGCTGGGGCTGCTCCCCATCTCCTGTGCAGAGGGCAAGGTTTTTCCTCATCTCTCACCTCTGCCAGCGGAGGAAAAGGGCTCCTGAAGCATCCTCCTGGAGTTCAGCCCTGGCCCTACTTGGAGGGGATGCCAGGGGAGAAGGAACCCCTCTGCTGCCTGCTGCAGCCCCAGATGCATCGCTTTGGGAAGGAGGCAGCCCCACTTCCCAGGCAGCCCTCTGCCAGAAGCCTTTGATCAAGGCATAGCTCCCTGTGTGCTGCTCAGAGCAGAGCCCACGTTTCCTGTAACCCTTCCTTCCCTGCACAGCTGGTTCTCTGCAGGAAAGGCGTGTGTATCAGAGCCCCTCATCCAAGGGCTTCATGTTTCCACTCCGCTGCTCATTTTGTTTTAGAAAAGCTTTGTGTTGGGGCTGCCTTAAGATCTAGTGAAGGCGAAGGGGAACTTTCTCAGGGAGAGCTCTGCAGCCTGCTTCCATCACATCAAAGCCAGCCAGAGGTCACATTATCTTGACAGATGTTGTACACTACAGATTTGGTTACTGTACTGATGTTTCCCATGGAATCGCTCCAGCACTTCTTTTAGTTTGTCAGAGATATATTTCAAAATACAACATTGCAGAAAAGCAGAAGGAAGCAGCAGATTGATGACCTTTTCCTGGTAGTGCAGAAGTGCTGGCTCAAGTTGCAGTACTACCAAAGAAAACAGAATATATGGAAACCAGACAGAACTCAAATCTCTTAGATTGTCCCTGGGAGCAGCTTCTCCATCTCCACAGCTACAGCACTACTTCACATGCTGGCTTTGATTCCCTAAAAAGATGTACAATTTCTATGTCTTTTCACCCTTTGAACATGGAGTGAAGCACTGGTCACCATTCATAACATTTGATTCCTATGCCTGGAAATTATCAAACTTGCTTCCGGCTTGACGCTGTCACCTGAGAGGAGATGAGCTCCACAGGGCAGGAACACGATGCTGCATGCTTGGCCACAGCAAGTGCTGTAGGTATGGAAAGAAGATGAGCCCAAAGGCATTGCAGCTGAGCTGACTCAAGTCTGATGCAAGAAGAGCCTGGATCCTGGATCCTTGCACGCACAGGCACAACTCAGATCCCCTACAGCTGGTAGCAGACAGAGCATCTTACCCACAGGTGAGGCTGGAGTTCAGCCAGAAACTTAGTCTGAACTGTCTCATCCCTGTGTGTCTGCTCACAAGCAAAATGTGCTTTAAACCAACTCTGCTTTCCTCTGTGCAAAATGCTGCACGAGGAAATAGAGCAGGCCTTGGCTTTTTGTACAGACAGAAGCACCAGGATTCACAAGGCAGCACTTGGGGTTGTTCTTCCCCTTGCAGGAAGAGCTGCTGTTATTTCAGAGCAGGATCAGATGGTGGCTGATGTTACTTCCCTCAGACAATGAGGTCTGATTGCTTGAAAATGCCAGCAGGTTATTTTCCTTTATTTCAGTTTTCCATTGGTTCAGTCTTCTGCCTTTAAGAGGAAGCCTGGTGCTGCTCACTGATGGGGAAGGTTTTTCTTCACAGCAGTGGTTTGGGACCTTGCTCTACTTTTTATATGCAGCAACTCTCCTTCGCCTCTCCCACATGGTTTCCAGCAGTCATGTGTTTTATAGATGAGAAAAGGAGCCACGGGATTAAAGTGTGATACACATGGGATGATGGAGCAAGCTGGTGGCTGAGCACCATCCTATTCAGGAACAATGCACTGGAGGACGTGGTGCTGGTGCTTCTCATTCTTACGTCCCACAGCGCTGTGCTCTCAGTCCTGGGACCACAGCAGGGCCAGTCTCTGGTTGTCAGCATTAGACTGGGCTTATTATCCTGAGCATTGCCACTCCTCGAGCACCATCCCAATCTCTGTCCTGCAGCATGTGGCAGCACAGTGCTTTGTTTCCAGCTGACCTGACGAAGCCCTGATCACATGCAGCAATTTTCCTATTGGAGGCTGCAAAACGCCTGGGGACTGCCTGTATGCAGAACGTGGGATGGGCATGTGACACTGCTCCATTTGGCAAAGCAAACCTGCTCCAGACATATGTTTCCCCATTCTGGGATTTCTGTAGCTTTAGCAAACAGCCCAAAGGTTTCAGACCGCTCAGGGGTTCTTCACTGCAAGCCTCACCTTGCCTGACCCATGCTGGGGCCCAGGCTTTATTCCAAACCTCTGGGTGTCCCACAGCCCAGCTGATGGTGGACTCTTCATTTTCCCAGTGGTGGAAGTGGTGGTGCCTGCCTGGCACAGAAGGCGAGTTCTGCCTGCAATTGGTGACATACTGTGACCGCATCCTGGGAGCCAAAGGGAAGGTCACACTGGCCATGTCCTGGTCACCACCACTGCTGCAGAGCCCTGGCATCTCCAGAATCAACATCCGGATCCGAGCAGTGTTCTGAGGGGCTGTGCCCTCCCCTCTAGGACAAATGCTGCACCTCTCGGATAAGAGGAGTTCCCATTCTTACTGCTGCGGAGCAACCAAAGCTGCTGCTCCACATCTGCAGACCATGGATGGCTAACAGCCAGATTATGGGTACAGATCCCAAAGCCAAGTGCTGGAGTCCCAGCCTCCAGTGTTCATCCAGACTCTGCTCCGGCCTTTTACTGTTGAGCTGTTTGGCCTTTCCACTGACTTTGTCAAGTAAGCAGCCACATAACCAGCCTAGGCTCGAGCCTGACTTTTCCTCACCACACCAGCAAGAGCACACAGGCTCTGCCTCAACCTATGCTGCAACCCATGCTGCTGATTTCCATCGATTACTCATTAACTGTGGGTGTGGAGCAAGCTGTAGGAGCCACACAACTTGCTAGCATGCATAGGTCTGCTTCAACTTCTGCTCTCTGGGCAATGCTTTGCCCTTGGATTGATCTTGCCCTCTGAATCATCAGGTTTGTGGAAGAAAGATCGAACTGTCAGGGTAATTGTGAACTGCCTTGAACTGGTTTTCTGTGCTGGATTATGCTTTAAATGTTGCAACAGCTTTGAACGCTTCTCCCTGTAAGAAAAAAAGCAGGTTTATGTTGGTTGCTGCTGAGCATTATTTCTATTTTACTCTCCTAAAGCCCAAAATAAGCAGCGTACGGAACAAGAAGGTGAACTTTTTCTGTGCTCTCTCCTGACCCAAATGATGAATTACAGCCCAAATTTAATCCACGTGGCGCAGCATCGCACCTCTCCTGCACGCTGACAAGCAGAAATGCTGCAAAAATAAGGCAGGATGATCAACACCTACAAAGTGCAACACCGAAAGCCATTTGTTGCAGAGGCACGGCTATTTGGAGAAGGTGTTGAGATGAGGGAAGCGGTGTCAGCTGGGCTGTGAAGGCTCAGCGCCAAGCTGGGCTGCAGGGAAGGGGAGGAGTGGCACAGCTTTTTCTCCCAAACGCTGCCACAGCAACGCCAGCAACAGTAACATCAAGCCAGGATGGGTCACTGCCAGTCCCTGACTCAAGGTCAGGCTGGACCAGGCTCAGGACAATCTGATCGAGCTGTGTGTCCCCGTGCGTGGCAGGGGAGCTGAATTAGACGGCCTTTAAAGATCCCCTCTAAATCAATTCTATGACTCAATGATTCCGTGATTTATGAACTCCTGCCTCAAGCAGGTCAGGAGAGGGGAGGATTAATCTTTCCTTTGGTCCGAGCCCATCACATCTGCTCTCACTGCGGAGAACGGCAGTGCTGAGCCTGCAGGAAACCTTTGTGACTTCTTGCTCCCGTGTGAACCATGGCCGAGCCCATCAGATCCGTAACTCCTCCTACGTGGAACCCGACCAAACCCATTTATTCTTAAAATCAGCCAATCGCTAATTATGCAACGACATTATTGCTGATTATCCTCGCCTTTGTCCGCAGGAGGCCGGACTGTGCTTTCCAGGAGACAAACCCAGCTCACCGCTGTCTGCAATCGCTGGGGGCAGCGCACGGCCTGCGGCCGCCCAGCACCGCGCCGCGATGGGCTGTTGGCGGCTCTCGGGAGAGAAATACGGCCCTGAGAGGCCGAACCGGCGCTCTGCAGCCTCCGTCCAATTCATTTCTGAGAGCTCGGAGCGGTGGGGGTGGAAAAGCACGGCGCATGAGGAGGGGCCGAGCCCCGGGCGCGGTTACATAAAGCCCTTCAGGCAGGCGGCGCAGCGCGGCTGCAGGCGGGGCGGTGTCACACGAGGACAGGGGGTGTCAGCACGCAGCCAGCGCTGCTGCCGCGGGGCCGATTTACAGCCTTTCGGCGGGGAACTTCCCCTTTGCGCGGCTGAAAGGCTGTAAATCACCCCCGAACCAGCAGCAGCTGGCAAAGCCAAGAGCGAGGCAGGGCTGTTCAGCGGCACCGGGCTCGGCATCGTGCGGGGTGCCGCCCTGCATCGCATCGCCCCGCCTCGCACCGCACCGCACCGCATCGCCCCGCGCCCGCTGCAGCCCCGCGGCGCGCGCCCCCCACGCGCGCTCTCCCCGGCCCGCGGCGAACGTTCCAGACCCCCCACGCTGCGGCAGGACCAGGGCGGGGCGCGGGAAGGGGGGAGCGAGATGGCCGACGCGCTCTCGAGGGATTCTGGGAAATGTAGTTCCTAGCGCGCGGCTCACCTGGCGGAAGCTCGCGTCGGGAGGACTACATTTCCCGTGAGGCGCCGCGCGGGAGCGGCCGCCGCGGCCCCGCCCTCCTCTCCGCGCGTGCGCCGTGGGGGCGCCGGAACCGCTATAAGGGATGTTGTTTGGCTGTGCGGCCGCTGAGTGGAAAAGCCGCAGTGGGGGCAGTCGGCGGGCGGAGGTGAGCGGTAGCGCCCCGCCCGTTACCGGCGGCGGGACGGGGCTCTCGGTGCGGGTGAGGAGCCGCTCCCCGCCCTGTGAGGAGGGGGTCGGGCCCCTCGTCCCTGTGAGGGGAGCCGCGGCGCCCGCAGTGCGGGCCGTGCCCGTGGCGGGGGGCTGAGCGCGGCGCTGCGGGAGGGGCGCTTTGTTGGCGCGGGGCTCTGATCCTCTTCTGGCCTCGCGGCGCGGCCCGTGCGCTGAGGCAGCGCTCGGGGGTGGCCCTGTGCAGAGTGCTGGCTCAGGCCTCTGGAGCGAGCAAGTGGTTTCATAGAGAAGGAGTGTTTTCTCCAGGGTGACTCATCTTAACGTGCGATGTGTGTGCGTAGGGAGATGCGTTATTCGGGACTGCGAGCTGTGGGGATTGAGCCGTTATCGGTGTTAATGAAGGACTTGGGGGTAGGTTTGAGCTGAGCGTAGTTTCTCAAGGTTTTGACTCCATGCTGCCGTTATTTAACCTGTCAGACTGCGTAGTCGTAGATCTGGGGGGGCTGTGGCTGTATTCCAGTGCACCGAGAGCCTCTGTGCCATTTATAGGCACCTCAGGGTGTGTTTGAACTAGTTCAGAAGAAGCTGGTGTTAATGGGACTCTGCAGGCAGTTATTGCAGCCTTATCGTAACAAAACTCCTCTACAGTTGCTTTCTTTACTTGTATTAATTATTTCGACTCAACTGTTTCTAAGGTGCTGGGTGTAATCGAACAAAGTGCGC